ACTCAAAAATTTAAAATGTTGGGTGAGGACCTTTTTAATAATTTATATTATTTTCTAAAAAGCGTTCTCACATGTGAGTTCACTGGACTTGAAAGGTGGACAATACATATGCTTACCTACCTACCTATGTTAAGAAATTTCACAATATTTAATTATTTATTAACTAAGTAGGGAGCGGTGAGAATGGAATCCGTTATACCGAAGTTCTGATACAATGTAAAGAACTATTTTAACTCAAAATTATAAGACATTAGGTAAAACTATATTAATAATTTTATAACAGCTATTCAAAACATTGGTGATTGATCATATTAGCTCTTCAGAACATGTTAAGAGGATCACATTGCTCAATAATAAGAATACTTTTTGACTTTGTGGTGCATCTAGAACATTGTACATACTAGTTTTTATTTTTTATTTTTTCATTCAGAAAACAAGTCCCACACAATTTTGATGCGGGACTTTCTTGACCACAAAGTGACATACTGCTTAGGTACCAGACTGATGACATGGTAGTGGATATCATATTGGTCAAATATGGGATTGGTAATACATGCTTTGACTGCATTACATTGGAAAATCTTTTCCAATGCACTAGAAAATTGTACGATCGTTGCCCAATTGGAGCCATATGATTTTTTGCCATCACTTGTGGTGATGGATTGGGACTTTGAAAAACCAAGATTTAGATTTAGATCCAGAATGGGTGTCTTCGAAAATAATATGATTGAACGAAAATCATACATTTCTTTTGTTAGGGTGGCGGTAGAGGGTAGTACTTGTAGGGTTGGCAAAACGGGCCAACGCGGCTCGACCCAGCCCAACCCTCTTTCAACCCGAAAAAAATGGGTCGGGTTAGGGTTGGCCCGAAAAGAGAAACGAGCCAGAAAAACCAACCCAGCCCGACCCGAGCCGGGTTAGGGTTGGCTCGATAATCAGCTTGCGGGTTGGCTCGGGAAAAAGCTCGCGGGTTGGCTCAAAAAAAGCTCGCGGGTTAGCTCGAAATAATGCCAACGGGTTGGTTCGCGGGTTGGTTAGCTCGAAATATTGCCAATGGGTTGGCTCACAAGTTGACTCAAAAAATTGGTTGCTGTGGAGCTACTCTTATTTGTTCTTCAACACTGCACAATAATATCAACATTGCCAATAAATGAATGAATGATATGATTGCTTAATATTTAATTAAAATACGAGTTTCGAAAAAACGTCATGGCTATGTAGTAGGAAATTTCAAGACAATATTATATAGTAATTAATCACATTAAAATAATTAACCATTTCTACATAAAATCAAAAGATAAATATATAGACAATTCCTTAAGTACTTTTAAAAAGATAAATAATGGGACAGTTACCGTCCACCGCCGTGCCTCCTTGGTCGGAAATTAATCGCCACCATATCTCTCCGTTACATTTAACCAACGATGCCGATCGCGACTACACTGTCGATCTCCCTGACGATTGCTTGGCCGGGATCTTTCATTTCCTAAGCTCTGTCGATCGGAAACGCTGCTCCCTCGTCTGCCGGTGGTGGTTCCGCATCGACGGCCAAAGCCACCATCGGCTCTCCCTGAACGCTCAAGCGGATTTGGTGGACTTCGTTCCTTTGCTTTCAACATAGCTAGTCTTATTCAACACTATGCGCCACTTTTGTAACTTCTTGAAACCCTTTTGAGTAACCCCATTGGCAACACCAGAAGCAACCTTGGAAGAGAAGTGAATGAGCGACTGAGATGAAATGAAAAAATTTGACAAAAAAATTCAGCTGAGATAAAATAAGCGACTGAGATGCGTAGTGAGATGAAATGATAAAGGGGGCAGAATCTTAGTGCTGAGACGAAATGAGCGACTCAGATGAAAAAATTTGATATTAATTTTTTTAATTAAAAAAAAATACCTAACCCGCGAGCTGGCCCGTTTGATCTGCGGGCTAGCTCGTTTTGGTCAGGGTTGTATCGAGTCGGGTTGGATCGGGTTGGCAGCTCATTTAGGCCAACCCAACCCGACTCATTTATGACGGATTGCGAGCCAACCCGACGGGTTGGCTCGTTTTTGCCAAACCTAAGTACTTGTAGTGGTTCTTTCAATTTTCAATGTTTTTTTTTTTTGGTAAGTGTTCTTTCAATATTTTTTATATAAAAAGAAAAAGTTGAACCAGGCTCGCTTGTTATTAGTGGTTCAATTTTTATAACCTAACCCACCATTTTAATGGGTTATGCAGGATTCGCTCTTTGGTCCAAATCTATTTTGACTGCTTTAAGAGTCCCCCACCATTGATGGTGTGTTCGGCTTGAGTTATAGCAATTGCCCAAAGAGTGAATCCATGACTACCACGCTTAAAGAATGCAGTGGGCCAGTTAAAAACATTCTGGCCTTTTTGTCAAAAAAGAAGAGGCTTGGTAGAAGGGTCCCCAACGATTTCTTCACTTTAGACCTACAACCTTGGCTCATAAAAAATGTGAGTAAGGATTGGAATTATCAAATTCATGTTGATTGGAGAGATGTTTTCTATACTACTTGCTGGAATCTTTGGAATTGGCGTAATCATCATATTCATGATGATAGTTTTCGAAGGCCGAGCAATGATAAGCGTGTCATTTCTGATTTTATTGCGCATTTAATTGAAGCTAGAGGTAAGAATAGAAGCATTCTTGGCAGCTTCCCTAATGCCCATCAGCCTACTAAATGGTGTCGTCCTGAACCTGGTCGGTTGAAGATTAACACAGATGGTGCTTCTTCCTTATCTAGGCAGCATGCTAGCTGTGGAGGCCTTGCTAGAGATCACAATGGTGCTTTTCTGGGTGGTTTCTCTTTCAGATTATGTTTCTGTAATCCTCTTGATGCAGAACTCTGGGGTATCCTCAAAGGCTTAGAGCTGGCCTGGGGTACTGGTGCTAGGAGAGTGGAGTTGGAATGTGACTCAGAAATTGCTCTTAGCATTATCCAAGAAGGGAGCAACAATCACAGAAACTCTCAGGTTGTTTCCCGTATTCACAAATGGCTTGCTGAAGATTGGGATGTTCGTTGGGTACACACCTTTCGAGAAAATAACAGATGTGCTCATTGGTTTGCTTCTAGGCATTTTGAGGATGATAATAATCTTATTGTTTATCATTCTCCTCCTTCTCCTTTGTTAGAGCTCCTTCTTCAGGATGCTTCTGTAGATCTTTTAAGTTCTCGCGTCGTGTAATTTTTGTTTTGTTTGGGGCTTTTGCCCCTCTTTATTACAAAAAAGAAAAAGAAAAAAAGAAGAGGCTTGTTTAAAGTATGGGCCTAAATGAGGTAGCCTAAGGTTTGCTTATAAATTCTAAAACAGAAAATGCCAGATACTGAAAATGTTTTTGCATTGTTAGTGGATTATGGTCATTGTCTCTTAAATGAATAGATGATATCCACTATCTTTTTTTTTCCGGTAAATCTAAAAAGTGCTTTGTAATTTTGACAAGTCTTGATCGGCTAGAATCACACAGTTTCATTCTTTTGAAACAAAGAAAATAAAAATATTGGAGTGAGCTCTGAGATGCAGCACAACGAGCAGCCACATAGTTTATCTGTACATAAAGAAATCGATTCAGACGCTAATATAGTAAAAAAAAAAAACTTAACTATCTAAAATTGGAATTTCTTTTTATCTGTTTGCCTCTTGACAGTTGTTAGAGTTAAAAAAGTTCTCACCCAATGACTTGAGGTTTTGAGTTAAAGTCTTTATATGCTATCAGAACTTCAGTGACTACAAGGTTACGAGTTCGATCATCACTGCCCCACTTTCGAGTGGAATTAAAATAAGCACTATTGAATCTGTGCAATATCCATACTTCAAGCCCAACAGACTCTTGTGCGAGGGAAATCCAACTCTTGAGTTACAAACCACTTATCAAGTGAGCTACATCTTGGGGTTAGCCTTCTCTTTATAACCATGATCAATTGTCTAAGTTTGTCACATCACATTTTTTATTTTATTAAAACTATTTTTAATTAATTACTTGTCATTCATCAAATTTCTCGTATGTAGCTCAATAGTCTATATTTTGGGATGTGGGTGTTATGTGTTTGCAGTGATTCAAAGGAGTGTATGACTGGTTGAGGCTATCTAGGACAGTGGCCATTTGGACTAGTGGCTGTGTTATTTGGTTGAGAAAAATTAGAGAGATGAATGAAACAAAGAAACAAAAAAAAAAAAAAACCACAAGAATTCATCCTAGTGTAAAGTAGGAGTTGAAAAAGAATTTGAGATTCAAGGGAAAAGAAAGGGCAATGATCTGTTCAATGGGCCAATTCTTTCCGACAGTGATAGAAAAGAAAAAAGAAAAAGAAAAAGAAAAGGGGATAGGATTTTTGAAATAAGAGAACATGAGATAATTATCTGATGTTAAATGAGAGTAATATTTTTCTTATTTTATCCATAATAATTGTTTGACTCATATTCAAACTGTCACATATTTATAAAGTAAACACTTTTTATAAATAAAGGATTAGTTCTATCATATACACACATAATTCTCCGCTCTATTAATTATCAATGTTCACACATATCAACCCCCACAGTTTTTGTGGTGTCTATTCTGTAAACCCTGTGAGAGTACACACCCAAATAGACTACGACTCTATCGGGTCGAACATCCGTAATCCTCTCGAATCAATTACCAAGATCCATTCGTAACTTATTTTTATTTTTAATTTGGTCTCTGGATGGGAAAGACAAAGCTACATCATCATGCTAGTATCGCGTCCTTAGTAAGGTGTAGTTAATTATGATAACGAAATCGATCGATAACGAGAATCACATTGTTTAATGATACAATAATAATAATAATTATTATTATGAGAACTTAATTGAAAATAAAAAATAAGTTGCCACAACAAATGAAATAGAACTTTTTAATTGGGCGCAAAAATCAATAACATATATTAGAAGCAATACGTGCACCTTAAAACTCATATATATATATATATATATATATATATATATATATATATATATATATATATATATGGGTCAGGATATTCTTACACTGGTGTAAGAGTTAGAAGTCTTACACTCAATCTTGACCATTGATCCACTTGTATCCAATGACTCACATTACTAAAAAATTTGAGCCCTTAGATATAAATGGGATCAGTGGACAAGATTAAGAGTGTAACTTACACGGGTGTAAAATGATCCTAACCCTATATATATATATATATATATATATATATATATATATATATATATATATTTTGTAATACACGTTAAAACTCATTGATTACTGATTTGGGAACAATATTGTCAGAATCAGATCAAGCATTACATTTTGGAGTTATTACGAAATACTGTTGTGTCAAAGACTTTGAGAAAAAATCGTGTTCTTGGTATAGAGAGCTTGGACTGCAATATGGTGCCAATGGTATATATTAGCTTCCTCTTCACTTCTCTATTTATGCCACCCATTGAAACTATCTCAGCATATGCAGCTGGTTCTTTGTTACCTTCAAACGATATTTTCACTGACCCCTTCAATATGACCATCACAAACTGCACATTTATATTCACAACACAGGCATGAATTCACAATATGGCTCACGGAAGTGAATTACTCTGATATTACTAGCTCCACCATTATTTTTACTATTGAGAAACAAGAGAAAGCCAATTAAATTTTCTGCCACTAAAATTACCACAATTGGGGAGTTTAGCATTTTAAGATATTAGATTTATAGGTCCTATCTTAATTTGATGTTGGTGCCTGACTCTAATACCATAGGTGGTGATATGGGTTGAACCCGGTCAATCCGTCAACCCATCAAAATAGGGCAGATTGGGTTATACATTTCAATCCATCAACTCATCTCAATCCGCTCCGCTTAGTTGTGAGTCAAAATAGGTTGGTGGCGGGTCAGGACGGGCTAGCCCACAGGGTAGCTTTGTTTCTTTACTATTAGGTAGTATTTTATTTGTTACAAAACTTTTATGATATATATATATATTTTTATTTTAATACTCCCCTAGAAAAAATAAAGAAGAAATTTTTTATTAATGACAAAAGTTATCTATAAATGGACGTAAAAATAAGTCCCTAAAAAATATCTGACTGAATATTAACTTATATTTAGGCTTGAGACTGGAATTTTTTTTTAAGGGAAGTGTGAATAAAAATAAGTAATATTATAAAATTAATAAAATATAATTTATTATTTTTTAATTATTTTTATTTTTTAGGCGAGTTGGTGGGCTCACATCAAAACGGAGTGGGTTGATATTTTCAACTCATTATCAAATGGCGTGTCGACACCGCATTTCAATACAAAATATTTTATATTAAATCTATGAATTCTTTCATTTATATATTTATCACTTAGGATAAATTATTTTACCTAATTTTTTTATGTCTACTTTGCCTATCAATCTCCAATACCTTTAGATTAGAATCTCTATAAAAGTGTTAGAGAGTAGTAAGCAAGAAAAAAAAGTAAGTAGAAATGTAAAATAACCTATCTCTTGGTACATTCCTTACTTGAATTTTCAAAAAGAGACTTTACGGTAATATTTCACACAATAATAGTGGACTTATTAGTGTGCGGGGTCCAAGCAAAGGATGGTTGGTGATGTGTGCCTTCAGCATCAATCCATGATCAGAATAAAGATGGGGTGCTTACTACTGCTCTAGAAGTGCAATCAACAGAGGTACCCCACTTCTTCCACTATCATCCTTCGTTTTCCTTTCACACTTGATATATACCAAGTAGGAAGAGAGAAGCTGGAAATATCAATGGTTCTATCACCTCTTTTATTTAATTAATTAAACCTGATTCATTGAACTGATCCCCTATCTTAATTTAATCATGACAATATTTGAAATATGATGTCATAGATTTCCCATCTCATTAATTTATTCTTGTGATCTGGTTTCATATACCTTTGATTATATTAAACAGCACTAAAATATTGCACTCTACCCTGCAGTCACTGAACCAGCCAACTAGCCTGTCTTCTTTAGCCAACTTGGTTAATTACCTATTTGGATCACTTTATTTCATTTTCAAAATAGTTTATATAATCACAATATTTTAAAGACAGACTTTGACTAAGCTAATACAAACAAATTAATTTTTTTTCCCAATGCCGAGTTGCATGAGGATTAGTAATTATCAATACTTAAGTTTGTGAAAATTTTTCTAGACTCCATGATTAAACTAAACAACTGAAAGGCAGAAAGGAAAAGGGAGCAGATCTCTCAACTGCTGAACAATCAAAAGCATGTATTTCTGAATATTCATAATAAAAACAAAATTGTCAAATTTAAAGTTGGATCCAATTTTACATGTAATTTAGATTCCTTAAGCTTTGCTAAAAATTGTCTTGTTGAGAGTAATCTAGCATGATAATGCTAAACGGTTGAATCATTAACTAACTTACATCCAAGTTTACCAGAGACCAAAAAAAACCCAAAACTAACCTACATATAAACAACAAAATCATAATATTTGTGCCAACCCCAAAGGGATTCTAACAAAGCTTGAGTCCAAATTTCATAAGCTTTATTTGATCAAAAATACTCATTAGAGAGAAAAATAGAGTATTGCATACCTTTTCAGGTTTTCCGATGATTGTGGAGATAGCTGTGGTGGCTTCAGAAAAGATGGGATCTGTGTCAACTCCATCTAAGTTAATATTGGTGGAGATGTAAAGGCAAGGCATCTTCTTCCTCTTTTTCTTGTGACTCTTCCTTTTCAAGTTCCCATTTATTGCAATCCCATCTTGTGTGTATATATATACATGTATAAAGGAATGTAAAGCTGGATTTCACTGTTTCCACCAGACACAAGTTGATAATGAATTGCTTGGCTTGGACCACATGTTCCAGAGTACCTTTCCTTTTCATTTTCATGAAAAGGAAAAAAAAAAAATGATTTGTTGACTTTGTCTTAGCTGGTTTAATTAACTTGCCGCAATTCTATCGAATTGTGATAGAATGAGTATTAGATAGACCTAGAGTCTAAGATTTTTTACCATATATTATTCAATTTATATATGATTTGGATGTTATACCCAACAAAGAAAAGTTATTAAATTTTAAATAATTTAATAGAATCTAGACTATTAATAACTTTGATCCATTTAATGCTGCCCTTGTAGAAGAATCTATAGAAGTTTTTTCCCCCTTCATTGCATGGCTCAAACTCTGACATTTGTTATTAAGGGAAATAAACTCCTTACCACTTCAAATGGTAACAATAAATCTTTTCTAATGGCTTAGGTTGTTTATTGAATAATCACACCATGATTAAATTAACCCTACGAGATGCAGTTGACTTTCAATCATATATCAATTATGTATATTAAATTTATTTAATTACTATAACAACTTTGTTATTTCATCCAACTCATTCAACAATTGGTTGCAACCAAAGTTTGCAAGGTTATTGGACCCATAGGTCCCAATTAGGCCAGATCGGAATGGTATGTTTTTAGAGATATATAAAATTATTAATGTAATCTTATTCGATAGCTTAAATTTTTGGGTTGAAATAGTTCTTTACATGATATCAAAGCTTCAATATCACGGGTTCGATCCTCACCCTTTAAACCCATATATAGACTCTCATGTGAGGAGCATATTAGAGATATATAAAATCATTAATATAACATATTCACCCAATAACTTAAGTTTTTGAGTTAAAATAATTTTTTTACATATGCATTGAGGAATTAATGTTCATTCTACGACTATTTAATTTGTGCGTATGTGATGATAAGTGAGTTTCACATTTAAAACAAGGATCAAATTTGAAACTTTGATTAAATCGGATAACGTTCAATATAAAAATTATTGATTCATTCTATCCCAATATATATACATATATTAATTCATGGTTCGACTGATTCAACCAATTAGCAGTCCAATCCCATTTTAAACCATTGATTTGATGCCACATGCAAGTCAATTAAACAACAAATATTTAATATGGTCCAGGACCACTGAATTTTTTGGTACTTCCTCTCACACTATTAATTTTTTTTTTCTTTTTTTATCCCTGTTATTTCTCCTCTTTTTCAATTTTATCCTCCTATTTATACTAAGGGACCACCTAAAAAATGGTGTTCCCCGTTCACAAAAAATAATCTCCTACTTTGGTGCTCTCTTAAAAATGGGAATATCATATAGTCCGTTTTTTATTGAAAAATTATAGATTTAATTTTTTTTAGTAAAATATTATTTACTGAGTAATAGAAGTTATAGACTGATAAAAGTTACAGTAAATAATAAATATTACATTTTCATTGCTTTACTATATAAGTCAGTGACTTATATTTTTCAAGTTATAAATTTTTTTATTTAATTAGTAATTAAAAAATTCATCTTTATTTTTCAAGAGAGTAAATTTTCTCATGTGTCAATTTTAAGTGATTTCGGCTGTTTATCGACAAATTGATTATGATGGAGAATAATAGAGAAAAAAATGTTAGGATAAAGATAATAGGAATAAATATTTGTTGTGTCATTTTAATAAAATTATTGTGTTTTGATTATTTTTTTACCTTCTCTATTCTCTATCATTTGTCAATAAACAATCCATATCACTTTACATGATGTTAAATAACTCGTGAGAGCAACGAAGTGCAGAAATGAATTAACTTCAACGATTTTTATACTTTCTAATTATCCTTTGGGCACAATATCTTTTACCAAATCTTTTAATGTCACTCGTTAATAGAAGACTACTGTAAGCATTAATGATGTATTTCTTTATATTTCTTTATATCTTTATGATATATTTCTTTGCCGTTATTTTAATCTTTAATATTATATTATTTATTTGATGGCTTTGTTGTGCTACCTCAGAAACTCTCTTCAGTATCTTTCAAAAAAAAAAAAAAAAAAAACTCTCTTCAGTCTTCTGACCAAGTAAAACATAAAAATTACAAATGATAGCCAGGTCAAGTCTCTCCCATCAACAGGTCATGGAGGGGAATAAACAAAAGGCCTCCATATTCTACAATAATCAAACATGAAATTCAAAGCATTTCTATGATGGCTATGCGTGCGTAACGTGTTGTCTCAAGAGTTCTCTATACTCGGCACTTTTCATGCATCTACCACATATATACCTTTTTATTATTCTTTTTACCAATAGTAGATTTTTTTTATAAAAAAATCATGATATTTTAGGGAAATCAAAATATTTCATGTTCGTTAATGATTCTTTTATTCAATTTTATGAATACCAACTATAATGTATATTAATTATTTTATAATGCTTTTACCCACACACAAAAATTTATTTTATAATGCATTGTAATTTCATATAATTTTTTTTTCCAGATGTTTTAGCCACGTATACACCTACATCTTTTTCAATTTTTATTTAAAACTACCTTCATTACTGTTTTTATTAAATTTAACTGTATTTTTCATTTTTGTTTTTGGGGCTTCGAAGCCAATTTTTTGTATTTTTATTTAATTAATTTCCTAGCTCTTTCTGTCCTTATTTTAGCCAATTTTTCTTGGAAATCGCCGAGGTCCCTTATAACAAGAAATCCAATTTTTTTTTTTTTTTTAATTATGTTGCTTTTAATTTTTTATTATATCAATTATGTCGCTTTTAATTTTGTTAATTTCTTATGAATCATGAACATGTGCATGCATGTTTAGGCAAGTTCAATATTCTGATAGAGATTCGTTGACAACTTTTTTTTTTAGGGTAATAATAGCATTGACTTTGAATTTATAACCTCTCGTTACTATACCACTCCTACTAATTTAGATTATTGTCATATCTTTAACCTTAACATGTTACTTTATATAAACCGCCCAAATCCTTCACTTCATTCCTAATGGCTTAGACTATTTTCATATCTTGAACAGTATCTCTCTTAACGCGAAAATAAGAAGCAATGATAACATAGTGTGGAGACCACAAAATGAGCCACGACAAAATCAAAGTTTAAAGACTCTTTCTTCCTTTTTTGGCTAAGAAACTTGTTGTACTCTAAGGGCACTATCAGGTCATATTCTTATTACTGGGCAAACGGCTTGGCCTTAAGTTAGTTCAATTAGAAGTGCTGCACAAGTATGACGATTGATATAGTCACACATTCAAGAATGTACAACCATTATTAAATATTAGGAAAAACATAATTGCTTATCTCTTTTTCAAAATTTTGAATCATTTATATCCTTAACTTGAATTTTTTTTATCACTTATCTCGGGGTCAGTGATAAAGAAATTTTAAGTTAGGAATATAAGTGATAAATTTTTTTTAAATAAAAATATAAATAATTTAAAAATTTTAAGAGGGAATAAGTGATTCCAGATGAAACTTATATGAATGTTTTTGAAGTTTCCCTAAATATTATTAGGGATATTTGTTTCTCCTTTTACAGGAAAAAGAAACAGTATTCATGTCCAAACATAAACTGTGGGACCCACAAGCCAAAAGAATAAAAAAACAAATATTAATCAACAACATTAAAAGCTTGTGTCAGTTGGAACGGGAGAAAAACAACACCCATATTATTATTGGGGTAAGGATCATTTTACACCAGTGTAAATTACACTCATAATCTTAGCCGTTAATCCCACTTATATCTAAGGGCTCAAATTTTTTAGTAATGTGAATCATTGGATACAAATGGATCAATAGTCAAGATTGAGTGTAAGACTTCTAATTCTTACACTGATGTAAGAATATCCTGCCCCTTATTATTGACTTGAGGATTAATGGCTAGTCACACATTCAAGAATGTTCAACAATTATTAATATTATTATTGAGTTTTCATAAGAGTGGTTTCAATGAGTTGATGTCTAGCCTGAGTTCAATTTCAATAATACAAGCAACATTGGTTCAAACAACTTACAACATGCTTGGTTATTGAATTATTACATTTGACTTGGCAATTAGCCTCTTAGTTGTTAGTATCTGAATGATTATTATTGTTGTCGACATCATTATTACCATAAACCACCGCTGTTGACTCAAGAATCTGCAAAGTGTAAACAACATTAACAACATCAGATTAAGTTGATTGAATAACCAAACTAAAATATAATGCCTCTTTTGAAATACTTTATGGACACACATTCAGCTATAGTGATTCAGCTCAATTTTATGTAGAAGCAGTAGTTCCTCCCTGAAATCATAAGGGCATTGTAGTAAAATGCAAAAAAAAAAAAACCATCTTTTTCTAAATGTTGTTGTGTTAGTTGAGTAGTTTGGGAAGTGTGACCATTTTATCACACTTGGCAAAAAAATTTACCAGACTGCCACGCCAACAGTAAATTTTGCCAAAATGCCACGCTACACCCTTAACCGTCGTTGAAGAAGTCTGAAAATAATTAAGAGTTAAGATAAGATAATGCGAATTAGTTATATTTTCAGACTTTTTCAACGACGGCTAAGGGTGCAGCGTTGCATTTTGGCAAAATTTACTGTTGGCGTGGCAGTTTGATAAATTTTTTTGCCAAGTGTGACAAAATGGTCACTCTTCCGGTAGTTTGTTGCCATTCCATCCCTTCCTTATAGAGGATGTAACATTAATAAATGTACTTACTGTATCTACAATGTTCTCATCAACTTTGACTTCCTCAATCACATTGATAGATTCCTTGACAAAAGCTACTGAAACATATCCCCCTAGATGATTCATTAGTTTCCCCATCATGGATGCCCCAAGACAAGCATCAAACCCTTCAATACTTGGAACCATTGTTCTTTCATCAAAGCCACCCAGAGCATACCTACACAGTAAAAGGAGAAGTTTTTGAAGCATATATCAATCGATCACAGAGAATTCAAAACAGGAAAAGTGTATGGCTTTCTAGCATAGCAGTAGCTCTATTTATACAACTTTACCCTCCACATTTTTTTTCCAAAATGATTTTCAGATATGTTGAGAGACCACCAACAATTACTACAAGATTAGAGAAAAAGACTCTCTCTTTAAATTACTTTGGGCCCATATAGTTATAAATATTTAATATTGTTATAATAAATATAAAGAAAATATTTTGATATTCTAAAAAAAACAAGAATGAAAGAGAGAGAAAAGAAAGGAAAAGAGCAGGTTCCAATTCAGTGATGTGGTTTTTTTTTTCAACAAAAATAATAATTTAAAGTGATGTAATTATTTTATTGACAAAATGTAAATATAAATAAATCATAACGGAAAAATGAAAAAAAATAATATGACCAAAGCAGTTAAAGGAGACAATCACTTTATTGAGTAATATAGATGAATTAAACAAGCAGAAATTAAGCCATAAATGATAAATCTTACTTTGAATAAGTAGTTTCATTATATCCACCAGTAGCATAAAGCACACCATTGAGGTTCACAGCAGCAACAGCAAATCTCTGGAAATATAAAAGACTACTTAAGTTCACTACTCTTATAAGCTTTTCAAAGAAACAAAGGACCATTTATACTTATTCTGTGAAGCGAGAAGAAGAGACTCAGGTGGACAGATCCGAAACTTCATATTCTAAAAGTGACTAATACATAGAAGTATGAAAGTCATAAGGTCAATCATAGAACTTGATGCAAGGATATGGACTATATCATGATATAGCTTCCATTTAACACCTTATACCTACCTACATAGTCATCTCTTATACCAAGGCAACTTTGAAAAGTAAAATGTAAATGGAGAGCAACAACTAACTAAAGATTAATTCCCATTTGGTATGTTTAGAAGTGTAAGTCTCAAAGATAAGGTAAAACACATAAACCCTCATGCCATTTGCTGTTATCCGTACATATGTCTCTCAATCAAGCCCTGAAATATCTATAATTCGATATTCCAACTAAATCTTTTCACAAGGGGATCATATAACACCTATAAGCTTTACCTTATGTAGCATAGAACGTGTAGAGATCCACCTTCCAATGTCTATATCAAGCATCTCAATATCTGAAAAGCAGTTAACTCCATTGACACCACCAGCTGCAAATGTTTTGTTGATCAAAGAAACTCTAGCCAAGCTTCCTTTCTTCTGATTCATAGAGGGGCACAAGGTCCTTTTGTAGGGAATTGAACTGTATGATTCAACTACATATACAAGGAGATAAAAATGTTGGCAAAAATTTCATCCCAGATAAAAAAAAATTTAGAAAACTCAGAAAGATCTCAAACCTGAATCATCCCAAACACAACCATTTCCAGCAACAGAAACATAAAGCTCACCCTTCAACTGTATTAATGAAGCATATGATTGAACTGAGCTCATAGGCTTGATAACATATTTGATCACATTCTGGGAAGGACAATACAAATTCATAGCTAATAACCATGATTCTCCATCATAACCTTCTATTAAAAATAATGATTCCTTAGGATCTAAATGCTGCTCAGCAGATGTCTGGTTAACTGTCGTCTCAACATGTGTCAGATGAGGACTAAATGCAGATTCTAACATTGTACATCGATCTTTCAGATGCTGAATTTCCAATGCTGCCTCCATCTGGTATGACATAAATACAAATATGATATAGGGAAAGGCTTACGATATGAAAAATAAAAAAACTGTGTCCAATTAAAGGTACTAAGGATGCTTATGGCTTCAGCATCACTGAGATAATCCCACTAATTTTAAACCATTGGGACCCATTTGTTTCTCTTTTTCACTGCTTAGCTGCTATCATGCAGTAGAAATTAGACCAAAATTTCGTGAAAAAAGTGGGTCAGCTAAGAAGAAAAATTGGAATCAGGTAACAGAATGAATAACAAGAAGAAAACCAGCATGTGATCTGCATATTTGTGGATTTCAAACAGTTGCAGAACTTTAAAATTCAATATGGGGATAATTATTTAACAAGAATCCATAAATGAGGTAAATTGAGAAATTCCACATATACGGTCAATTTGTATGAATACCATATACATTTTTATGCATGCCAGCGATATACTTAAAAATGCTAGGGATGAAGAAACAGTTGAAAGATATGATAACTTTAGCTGGCATCTATAACATAGAAAATAGTACCAGTTTCTGCTCCAGGTAACAATTCTTCTGTGTTTGTATTTTCTTGAAAGCCATCAGTTCTTCAGTTTCTTGCATCAACTACAAATGCATTAAGGTTAGTAGGATTGAAAACAATTAACTTATACCATTAAACATATTTTCATTCATCAACCTCAACCACCTGGTCTATGATGTATTGATACTCAAATGGAGGACTGGAACTCTCTTCGTTCTTCTCTGAATCTGCTGGTACTTCCAGACAACCCTTTTCCACATAGCACATATTATTCTCATCATCAGTGTCTTTTACATTGTCTGTTAAAGAGAGTTCTTGATTTTCACGGGCAAGAGCCAATTCCTTTAGTTTCATATATATAAGGTTCTTCTCATCCTGGTTTACCTCCTTCACAATTGTGTGTCTATCCAATGGCTTGATTTCAGTGAAATCTGTTCTCCTACTTGAACTGGTAAAATGCTTTGTCTCTGATTCAAGTGTTTCAAATGCTTCATCTTTTTTCTGAGTTTTGCATGATGGAGGACATGGAGATACAGTTCTCAACTTCATTGTACACCGTGATATAGGGGTACCAGGGGCAATTGCTAAACACACTAGCAAAGACATTAGTTTACTTGTTTGTCTATGATCTAGCTCAAACCAGAAATGGTTATTGGTGTAGTAGTTGCCTCCAATTACTTGTCCAAATTGATCTTCAGACAGTGGTTGGCAGTGAAGCCGGACACGAATTTGCACCTTAAAAAACATTAATAACAGAAAGGTATTAATGTAAGTGTCTTTACATGAATCATTACCACCATTTTCTTGAACCATATGAATTAGAGTTTACCAAGTGATACCTGAGCCGGATATTGTGTTCTCTCTGAACAATCAGATGTCCATGCATAAGGGTCTATATACATTTGACCCTTACTAGATGCCTCATAAATTCCATAAAGCTTCCTATCACTATAGTTGAACAGAAACACAGGCAACCCAGGATCAATGTTCTTCACATAGGAAAAATGCTGAGCTGGTAAGCCTGGTAAAACAAATAAAAATTCCCATGAGTTAATGATAACATAAATCCCCACCCTCAAAATTAGGGGAATTCACTATAACGCTGTCAAAAGTGACAATTTTATTTGGTAAAACAAATGATTGTATGATATTAATCATACTAATTTAAAATATATCAATGTTGCCATGTCATATAGAAAGAAGACTTCTTGTATGGGCAGAACACATTGTCAAATTTCAAATGCAAAAATATTATTGTTCCATTCATCGTTTTAGGCTCATACTAATAACTATATTAGTCTATTAGAAATGCTAGCATAAGAGCTATAAAATGCAAAAGACTAACCAAAGAGTTGCTTTGATTGACATTCTTTTATTGTCCTGTTTTTGCAACCAAATATGACACCACCAAGTTGATTCTTCCCCAAATTTCTGCCACATACAGAACTGACCACTGAAATTGGAGACATAGGCAGAGTCCCGCTGACATTAAAAGTTTGTGTTTTCCTCCCTGACCACATCCTGGCACAAGAGGATAAAACTTATTTCATTAACAATCTATGCAAAAATCGAGACCATAAAGAAATGTAAATTATCAATATGCTGGCAATATGAAATGAACAAAAAGTCCAAGCAGTTAAAATGTAAAATAAATAAAGATTTTTTATTATTATTAAATACAAAGCAGATTCATAAATGTCATTATAAAAGTTGAACATTGTAAAGAAAATGAAAGTACTGGGGCAAATGATTGTATATTAGACTAGATAAATTTAATTGAGCATCAACTAATGTTGACTTCACACTAGTCGTTGAGGTTTACCATGACAGCAATTGAAGGAGCAAAATAGAAACTTGACACAAATAATTTGCCAACAATCACAATAGAAAATGTTACAAGCACCAATTCAGTCCGACACATGATCAGATAAAAATAACAGAGAAAAAAAAGTGTCTGTATTTTCCCTCACTAAATTTTCTAGCACACCTAACAAAAATAATGATCAGAAACGTAAGCAAAAGAATTGAGAGGGAAAGAAATGTACTTAAAGTAAGTTTGTGTGAGAGATTAAGGCTTGCAAAGAAAACCCAACACAAAGCACCAAAAATGAGGAACTGCTTATATAGCAAACGCGCATGTAAATATGTTGTTGCTGTTATCAATCATGAGTTTTATGTTTTTGTTGTTGCTAAATATGTTGTACTATTTTGATAATTATTAATTGTTTATTAATCAATCAAGCAACTTAATCACAATTCACAAGTAGACAATATTGAATAATCTATATATAGAATTTGCATAAATAAACAGTAAAGTGCCTAATTTTTTTGTTTGCATTCAGATTAAATCTAAATTAGACATTCAGTAATTTAATTGATTTGATAATAACAAATTATGTGTAAAATTGCATATCTAAACACTGACATGACTTTTTTTATTTATTTACTAAGTTTCCATGTACTTGCAATTGATTCGGTTTACTGAAATTCTCTGTTTTTTGTTACTTATAGTTAATTATTTTTAGACTTTTTATCTCAATTTGATTTTTTTTTTACCTCATAAAAAGCAATTTGTTCTTATCATTGAAGCCTTTTTTTAAAAGATAATTTATCATTAGTTATATGAGGTGCATCAGAAAGTGTAAATCTACAAGAAAATGGAGTCACGAAAAAAGATTTAGTCTTAAATAAAATTCTGTTATAATAAAAGAGAGAAACATTGTTATCAAAAAAAAAAAAAAAAAAAAAAGAGAGAAACATTGATGTATAAAAAAAAGGGAGAGAGAGAGAGAAACATTGATATTTTACATATACTGCATTTTATGTAGAGTTATATTCATCTTATTTTGTATAAGAGAAATAAATTTTCTACACATACAAAAAAGGGATGAGTCCCACCTATTTTTTTCTCTTCTCTTATCTGTGGATTCCACTTGTAATTTTAATTTTATAATATGAGATAAACATTTTCCTATAACATAAGAAAATTATTTCCCTGAGTATTATAAGAAAATTCAAAGACATGCTTCTTGATGGAGAAAAAACAGAAAACATGGCATGACACATTACTTTTGTCACTCTCTGACTTGATTATTAACATTTGAAGAATAAAAAAAGAAGAAGACAGTTTTACATGTGATTTATGCTAGAAATGGATTTGGCATTTCCTTGTGAAATGGCAATGATATGTAGTGATACAACACTAATTATTCATTAGTAATTTAGTAATATTCTGTTTGCATTAATCTTACATTTTTTTAAAGAAACAAAAACAGAACATCAGACATGGCTTTGATCAAATTACAAAGAATCGCAAAGAAGGTCTTGAATTCCTTCTATTGAAAGAAAAAAAAAATTAGAGATGAAACTCCCAAAATACTTAACTCCTGTCTCCAAAAAAATAAATAAAAAAATTCTGCCTCTAATTGGCCTGTGTTTCAAAATTTTTAAGTCATTCAAGGGTAAAAGATTGGAATGAAATTTCCAATGTTTTGTTTCATTTTTTTGTCAAAAAAAATTCTAGAGATTAATTATTCCAAGGAAATATGCCCAAATTTTGATTTAATTTTCATTCAAATGAGAGAGGGGTTGTCTTTTATTATACAATATGGGCATCGTTGGACAAGTGGCTTTAATACTCAAGAGGAGGTGAATTGAGTTTTATATAATAACCCAAATAAATAAAGTAAATGATTAGGAATTAGTTAATGACTAAAAGAGATTAATTAGATGAAAAATCGAATTCTTTAAATTAAATCACTTTTCAAGGTAAAAGTGTGAATAGTAAAAGTTTCGTGGTAAAAATGCAAGTAGGCAACATTACCCGAAATAAAAAAAAAAAAAAATTAGTGGAAACCACTCCATAATTTTAAGAGCACAAAATCATACGTTAAATACTTGAAGTTAGTAAGTGAGAAAGTGAGTTAAGCTAGGAGGGTAGAAGAGTATTTACCCTTAGTAGATATTTTTCTAACTTAAAACAAAAGTCATTTCTCTTTCCTTTCAAATCCATTCCATCGTGACTTTCCTTGGTTGGCCGAGAAGTATACTGATTTTTCTTCCTTCTTTGTTCGACCAAGCCCTTTGGAGGGACCAAGTGATTCCATCTCCAATTCATCTTCTTCTACGAAACTACTCCATGGAAACCATCTCCCATCATTATCCTCATTTCGGATTTCTCCATCGATAGTCATGGAAAATGGTTTTGAAGCTTGAAAATCATCCCTCTCAACCTTATTAGAAGCCTCTAAGGTAATGAGACTCAAACTCTTTTGCATTTTCATGAAATTTCCTTGATTTAGGTTATTTCAATGGGTTTTTTTTATGATTGGATGATTAGTTGTGAAAATGAATATAAATGTCCTCACAAAATCTGTTAGGGAAACGTTCTTAGCATAGAAAAAGCATAACAACCATTGCTTTAATCAAGTTGAAATTTTAGTCATGAATAAAGTTTAAGATCCTTATTATTTAAGGCCTTAAAATGAAGTTTTTGATGGTAGTTGTATGCATGGTTGCTATTGTAGTTTTGGACCAAATGATATATTATTGGAAGATCAAGCATTGGACCGTTCCATTGAGCTAGACTTGGATTCTTCAAAATTCCAAGTATAAGGTGATATTGATTAAGGGGTTGTTGATTGACTGCATAGGCAAGGAAAATGCTATAGCACCTAACTTCAAAAGGTAAGCTTTCGGTCTTTGGGGTTAATCCCCCGTTTGTTCTACCAAACTCTAAGGGAGGGTGGTTCTTTCATATGGTATGTGGATATTAATTGTTATATGTTGCATGTATATATATGTATGTTTGTGTGAGGCATAAGACAATATTTTCTTATGCATAGTATGAGACGGTGTTTCCTCATATGGTATGTTGCAAGACGGTGTTTCCTTGCGTAATGTATACTTGTTATATTTTCTGGCCAGTAGGATTCATTATTGCACACATGCATTGAGATACATATTCTGATGCATATATATTATTGTATATTGTAGTTATCCCTGAAGTGAACTTAAGGGTGGAGGAGCCCTCCAAGGACCCCTAGTTTACTGATATGATTGATCTCTCCCCGTGTGGGGACTTACATTTCAGGTACAGAGCTCGATGGTTTGAGGCATCGCATGGCAGGAGGCCAAGATAGAGATAGTGCATGTTGCAAGAGACATGATTGCTATTATGCCTTGATGACATGATATATGATTTAGACTATATTTTAATATATGCATGACTGTTATTTTGATGCATATGACCCGATGATATGTTGTGAAGAGCATAGGAAATGTCTATGCCATCTAAATAGTCTATATGCAGTGTTAGTGAAATATATGTATAAGCTATGTTATTTGTTTATTTGCATTTCTTTTGATTAAGTGATGCAATTAAGTAAATAACTATGTTAGTATTATTTTGAGAAATGATATGTATTTGATAGCCTAAGTAATGGATTGCTATGCAATAAGATTCATGTATGCGTGTGACTTGTATAAAATATAATCAAATGTCAATTAGGTAACCTTTTCTCCATGGGAATAATCCTACAGCCTCCAAATACAAAGGAGACGCCGTCCAATTATTTTAAAAAGATGGGAGGCGCAAGAAAGCATTAAGTAGTTTTATTGAATAAGAGATGATTAATGAATTGAAATAAAATTGAAAGAGAAAAAGTTTGTTCACGATTTAATTAAGGCTATTAGTGAGCTATAAAGTAAGCTTCCACGTTTAACTTAATTAAATACGTTGCGCTTAATACCATATGTGATGATAACAAACCGGTCTGGAACGGGGTGTTACATTTTACAAAATCTTTTCGCAAAGTACTTCCTCTGATATTTTAAAGAGCGTTTCTTCAATAAAATGATTTAATAAGAAAAAATCTAAGTGTGAGAGCAAGTGTGTGATCAATAAAGTGAGCAAGCCAATAGATAGACACAATCTAAAAATGCAATTTCAATACTAAAGAAAGGAGTTTAAGGTTAGAGAAATTGCAAACTAGATGTATCTTGGTTCGGTCACCACCACTGTGACCTACGTTCAGACTGAAGTCGCTCGATCAAACTTTTTCACTAGCTATCAAGCTTGAGGGTGCTTGACAAACCACTACAACCTTTCAAGACTTCGAGCTCTTGATGCCTTACAATTTTTCACTCCAAATTTTCTTAGGAATTTGGTGACCTCTCAAGTGTAAAGGGTTAACTCCCTAACTATTCAAGAAATCAAATGGAGGTGTTTAACAATGGCTAAGTACTCTCAAAGTACAGATTATACAAGTTGAAAAATTATAGGTGTTGACACTCTCACAAGAATAAAGCTCAAAGAAAGTTTATGATCAAGATGACAAGAATAAAGCAAGTAATATGATTTAAATGAAGAATAATGATAAAGAAGAAGTGTCCAATCAATGGAACAATGATTCCTATTTATATAGGGCTCCCATGGGTGTTTATCCACTCATTTCCGCAAACTAGCCATTTTATAGCCGTTATTTTTGTCTTCTGCACAATGGGTAATCGGTTACCATGT